GAATATTTTGTTGTCTAATAACCATTCATTCAATCGCCTATGTATCTCCACATCTACAGACCTATTTTTCACTCATCAACCATTATTCTTCCTACCACTACATCGGCCAACTCACTATGTTGAGTAGATCTTTTTGAAAACAGCTACCTCCGAATCCCATGCTTGCGTTAAGAAATTTAGGGCAAATCCGATGATCTTTGCCGACTGCATTAGCAACTTCGCGAACGTCGGCGCCAGTCTCCTCGCAAATCACAGAGACAGCATTGATGCTGCTGATCCGCTGAGCCAAAAATGCATTCGCACTCTAAAAAAAAAGATGAAAAAATGAAACAGAAAATATAAAATACACAATAAATAAATCTTTGTAGGATAATTTAACATGAAGTGTACAAACAGAAGGCTTAATCATTTCCTTACTATAAAGCCAAAAGCCCTTATAACTCCCTTCAATGGATTTATCAAGAGAAACGATTTGAGCTAATTGGCAAACACACTGGATCATAAGTCCTTGGATTGATGAAATTATAAATCTATAAAAAGCCATATTCGGCATAAATATTACAGAGTTTTCCGGCGTAGCTAGAAAAAAACATTCTACTTATACATCATATCTTTCCCTAATATAGTCAAGTAAAGCCAGGTTCATAAGTAAAAGCGGAAGAAAGATGAGCCATACTCACTAAGTATATGCGATAAAAAGTTGCAGATACATAATTGTTGTGCTTACTTCCATTTCGACTGAAATTGTTGGATAAACAGATTCGAAGGACTATTCCACCAGAAGACGGCGGCGGATTCGTCTTGACCAGCTGTCGACTGGCCTTACTGGAACATTCATACTGACGCTGTTTCCGAGGTAATATCCTTCAATTCCGGTGAAAAGGTGCTAAGCTTTCGTCTGTCATATGGCGAACATCATTAGAGTAAGGTATCATCGTCACAACCAAATTCAAGCTAACGAGTCAAGCAAACTCATCGGCAAATCCATAAAAAGCTGTATATATACTCTACATTTGGCCTCTTTGATCAAGTATAAAGTGATTTGGTTAGTTAAAGTCAGATGTCAACTTCGAAGCCTGTGAGTGTGTCTGCCTCTGCATGTGTATGTGCCTGTTTGTGTTCGCTTATGCACGAAACCCGCAGCTTCGAAATGCATCGGTCTCATCAACACCCCCAGCGGGAGTCGAACCGTGACAGTGCAGAATGGGAGCTTGTCACGTTAACCACTCGACC